CCCCACCACCGAAAATAAAAATTGTGTAGTTTTCGAACCCAGTTTACGGCAATCTACAAGTAGAACGGGAAAATTAACCGTAGATGTCATTAACATTTCATCTGATCCTTGGAAGTTCTGATCAATCATAAAACAGGTGTTCCAAAATTAAGAAACCATTTTGAGCCATCGTAAAATAGGAAAACCAAAGCTGAATGTCATGGCTCGAAAGTCTTCCTGATGATAATCACCTCTTCCAGCGCAGGATCGGTCGAGCTAAGGATCTGGTAATACACGTGATCATTAAGCTGTGAATACGCTTCCATGTCATCAATACATTCAGATATTGAAAACATCTTCCTAACAAACGAAAACAAATTGGGAAAGTGTTAGAGCCTGACCAACACTGATCACAAACATTGTAGCATAATTATTTATATAACAACCAGCCTTTAAAACCATCCTTTGATATGCATTTTTTTTCTAACTGAATTTTCATCAACTTTTCCTTAGTGTTTAAGATTTCCGCAGCACGCGTCTGTCGTTCTGGTCAAGTTATCTGTCTTATGACTCTTATCCCTACCCCGACAACTTTCCTCTGTCAGGAAAAAGAGAAAGAGAACCTCACATACAATTCTTTTTTCCTATTTGAGATACAGGAGAACTTTAATGGTATCTATATGTCAGCGCATCCCAGAAAACATTCTTTTAAAAACAGCATCAAGCGACAAAATTAACGAGAAGAAGCTGGTTTTTACTGACCCTTTTGATCCTTTGTAAAGTACCTTCTTATCGGCCTTGAGAAGTGCCTCTGTAATCCTACAATTACGAAAACACGCCTCCGTGATTTGCACAGTACATCTTGCTGGGTTTGTCCCCTTTCTTCAGAGCAAATTTCAAGGACTTTTCCAGAACTTTTCCAGGACTCAAATTGATTTTTGCAGGACTACAAATTTAAACCCTTTCATTCACAAGATTTCCAAATCAATTCTCCTCACAGTCTACCTACATTTATTACAACGTTGATTCTGAAAACTTAATTGCTTCGTGTAAGCAGATTTCCAGGACTTTCCAGGACTTGTAGTCTTTTTCAAGGACTTTTCAGTCCTGGAAAATAAATAAAATCCCAGGACTTTCCTGGTTTTCAAGGACCCGTACGAACCTTGATCCTACCTTTCGATTGTTTCTTAAAATTTTAAGGAGCTACGCAAAATATCACCTCGTAAAATGAACAATTTTTAGGTCTTATTTCCGTCAATACGAATCAACGTTCAAATGTTATTCAAAATAGTCCATCTACAAATCTTTTAAAGTAATCTTGTACATCATAATTCTTGCCAAAGTTGTGCGACATCCCCTGTAGAAATCATCTTCGCTAATCCGCAAAATTAACCTCGCGGTTGGAGAATTAGACTCTTCGATATTTTAAAGATTACACCGTGAACACTTAGCTTGAAAATTCTGATGTACTTGTATTATTAATCAGCATACAACTTGAAATGCTTTGCTCATTTACCGCTATAGAACCAAATACGGTAACTTACATTCTTTCAATAATATTTGACGTCTTATGTTGGTAAGCCCTTCGAAACAGACTGTTTCTGGTGTGAAACATATCATAGACATTGCCAACTTCTTTATCGCGGACACAAATTTGCAGTTTGCCGTTGACTTCGATCACTCTTGCAAACTTCATGTAACGCCTGTGAACAAAAAATAATTCCAGCGATTGTAAAGTTGAGTGCACTTCAACTGACGGCAGAAAACCAAAGAGAATTTATCACAGAATCAAGGAAAATGTTACAAAAGGACGACTGCAACTCAAAGTTTAAAAAAAAAAAAACCAATAAGGTGGACAGGTTCGAGTGGGGTTTTAGTTTTCTACCGGACTGGTAGAGAAAGTGGCGCGAACTTTTCATGACCAATCACTGAGTGAAGAAAATTTTATTTCATCCATACTGAGATTTACACTGTGAAGTACTATCTTTCGTGTCTCTCATTGGACGAACGATGTATTTTTCACCGTCGTTAGCTTCCAATCTTAGAAATGTGTCGGTTGGTAAGAAAAAAAATCTCAGTATGTATTAAATAAAAACATCACTCGACGCATTGCAACTCATGAATAAAAATCATTCGTGCGCACTTTCCATGGGATAATTTCTATGAAACCACTCTTCTCTTTCTCGGAGCTATTACAAACTAATCTGAATCAAAAAAAGGAGTCTTCAGTTGACCCATTCCTACTTCAATGTCTTTCTCCCTTTGACTAACCGCAAAAACAGGTGTAACATACTTATGATCAAAACTGTTGCTGATTCCTAGACAATGACAGTCTCGAGAAAAATAGTCGAACTTGTCCACATCAATGCCTGTTCGCTTGTTAGCAACAATCTGAAACACAGA